TTCCAAACACATAAAGGTCATGTCTAAATATAGGATAATTGAATACAGTAGCTTATCTTTGGACAACATCCTCCTCTGTTCCATCGTCAACTGTCACTTCTTGCTGTGTACGCGCACCTGATTAATATGCAAATGTTATCACCATTTTCTATGGTTAAGGCTATTTCAAGCCGCAGTGTGTATTTCTGGTAACAATTTCCTTATTTTCAAAAGGTGTACTGCTTGTAGCCAAACAAGCTGATATGATTTATACGCTATATATTTCTAGCTAACCCTCAACAATACCTCACCTGTACTCACCTGTGGTCTTGTACCTACAGTGGTCCGCACAGGTAGGGGGTCTGATTCTGTCTCCGTGAGGTGTTTTGACGTCACAGCACTAATATACTCCCCCATCTATGTTAATCGTCGGGTGGGTCTATTAATAACAATAACAGTCTATCGGAGATATTGCGATGGTAGGGCGGGGTTGATGATATAACGAAAAACGCTGACAGCAACAGTGATACAACATGTTTTAACAAATACCTAAACAACAGCTGCACTATTGTCATAATGTTTGTCTTTTGTTTAAAAACCGGTCGCCAGTGGTTTTAGATATCTTCTGTTATTTCCAAGTTATTTAGCAATTTGGTGATTGCTTCAATCAGTTTTTTAAAATTATAATTCAGACATTAATTTCCATACGATGTTGATAGTTATAACTTTGAGATCTATTTCTCTGATTAATAACCACGAATGATATCAATATCACACTATAATTGAATCAAGGCCGAGTGTTTATCATCTCTATTTCCTACCCCATTCGTCACCAAATTATACCGCTGACATTTAAAAAAAAACAATATTGTCTGCTTAGTGTTTTTATCTACCTAATGCAGCCAGTAGATACAGACTAGGAACAATGCCAACACACTTGTTCGTGGAATTCAGAAAAGGAAGTATAAATTCCCGCGAGGGGGTTTTCCCTGTTAGCAGGACAAGAGGAAGCTAGCTTACCTTTGTTGACACGAGGAAGCACCCTATCGCTCACACTACTTGTATTTATTGTTTAACCTCGACCCGCCGGCAACATTATATAAATAATCATTACAACACAGAAAGGACCTGCCTTTAGACATACAGGTCACGACTTCATTACAGGGATCAGTAAAACTGCTGTATCATGGGTGACAAGTCCGTTTGCGTTTAAAGAGGATTCCATAAATGTTCTGTGTGTCCACGAACGGTAGGCACTCAGCTATCTACTGCTAAAACGAAAATTAACTAAACCTATCGGATGATGTAATAGATTAAAGTAGATGCCAATAACTATAACGTCATCAATATATATCCGATCCTGTAATTAATTTAGAGAGATATGAAGTATCATTTAAGCTAACAATAGACAGGCCTTTTAAATGTCGATGATTTTAACCACTCGGGTGTAGTTTTACAACTGATATAATTTCATACTTTACAGTGCCTGCGGGGATTTACTTTAAAGTATTCCGTTACAGAATTTTAAGCCAGCCATGTCGAATTAAAAATCGGACACTTGAATTACATGTGTAGGGATCAACAGAGGAACAAGCCATGCAATCTTTACTCATTTTCAGGCAATACTTTCTGTGAATTTTGTCTGTTATAACCATTCAACCAAATATAACTCTGTATTACATCTTTTGTTCTGCAGGAGACTAAACACGATTTATAACAACTCAAACAGATCCTTGCCGAGACAAGTACTTCCATCAAAAAGATATTTCATTATTCATATTTCATTAAGTTGATACATGTCAATAGCTAAATTTTTAGACAAATTATGTAACCAAACTGAACTAATTGTATATAAAATAAATTTTAAAAAATATGTCTTTAAAGTTGCAAATTATAGTGCAATTATCACCAAATGACCATATCTGACATTCTAGATTCAGGCGAAGTTCTATAAATAACTGTCATGATCACACTTTAGATTTTGCTTCCATCGAGTCATAAAACTATTTGTGGAATGTTCGGAATTCAATACTTGATGTGACACATGTGTAAGTTCACACAAAAAATAAATAAATTTAACCTATAACAAAACACTGTTACTCTAATGATATGTGCGGAACCTTGAATAGGCTCTTAATCATCAATAATGTTTGGTGTGAAACCAGAGTGATTCATCAGTCACTGTTCCTGTTCTTGAGTCATACACACATAGGTACATTTGGCCGGCGAATATTCATCTGGGTTCACCAGCATCAGCAGCAACAGTAACTACCTGTTTAATACACATACCACTCTGCTGTGGAAGAAGGTTATAAAGAGGACCGATGAAGTAAACACATCCAACTGTACTAAGTGACCCCTTACCGCCTCACTCTATATCGACCGATCAATGTTTTTTCCTCTTAGTACTCTACCAATAACCCCGACAGACTGAATGCGGGTAGGAATTATCTGTACATGTACTCTGACATATGATATATAATTAGATTTACTTGCGTGCTGTAAGTAATAAGATGTCACATACTTGTTGATATTTTGATTTCGACGAGAAAAAAACGTAGTTTAGATTGATATCCTGTCGATTGAATGCTATCAAGCAAATAAATATATACAAGTTTCTGTTTCTAGGCTTGTGGATAAGGCAAATAACCTTCCCACACTGCAGACTGTAGCTATAATGTAAGTTTGAGGACTCTGTGTCGCGTTATATAACATGATTATGATATAACAAATTGATAACAGATATATTGATTTCTTAATTTTCTGCTGCTAGTCAAGAAATGAGGGGCGCGGAGAAATAATGAGACAATTACAAGGTCATACTTATTATGCTGTCCTCCTCCACAAATATGATATTCCATTCACTTATCTATCTTTGCAAATACTATTTCATCGCTATACGGCTTGAATTTTACTGCCTTTTTTACCAGCACCCAATAAAATTCATTGACAGAGAAGCTGGAAATTTATTTTCTTATTTACTCCACACAAAGCAGACGTGACTTTAAATCTTCATGGAACTCCCCCGCATTCGCGCGGCAACAAATGACACGGAGTGTTGCCCAGTTGTTTGTCTTTATTGATAATCTTGACTCTCTTACACTACAGACACTTAACTACACTAGAAACCTACGACTCTCTTGCAGGACAGAAAATAAAGAAGACTTGCACTAGAGACTTAGGACTCTCCTGTAGTACAGATAACTAAACTACACTCGCATTGGAAACCTGTGACTTGTGATATAGACAGTTTGTGCCAAGTTCACTTAGAGCATGGACCAGCTAGCTATTTAACACTATCATTACTGCATGCACATCTGCAGAGAAATCTTAAACACACAGAGACCGCTTAACACATATATCTCTACTGATCACCTTGAGATTTGCGCAACGTATCTCATGATCAAATGCAAATTTTGCCATAAATAATTAATATCTGTTTTCTTGCACCAGAAATAGCTCGCTGGCAGCTCTGTCAGTGAGAGAGACGGAGTATTGTGCTGTAGCTGAGTGAAGCCTAATTGAAAAGCTAATAATGCATCAATCTTTAACAAACACTACCAGATAGATATACGACCACCGGCAGACAGAAAATAATTCGTCTGTACATCAAAGGGGTGAAGTGCATTTAGTGTGGGAGCTCCAGTGGTACAAATAGTATATTTAGATGAACTCTATGGCCTAGGGATATTGTTATATAATGTTAGAAACATGTTCGCAATACCTGGTCATTGCATTAATGTTATAAAGGTTCTGTTAAATATAATTGACTCTCCTTTTAAGTCCAGGACATGTTTACAGTTTCCAATTTTCTTATACTATGCATTGAACAATATCTTTCTTTGAACTGACCCCTATCGCAATAACACAAATTATTTCCTTATTCTAAGAACGTACTATGCCTGGGGGATTTCCCAACACAAATTGTTGAAACTAGACACTAAAGATAAATAGAAAAAAGAATCATACAGTGACATATCTCCTTCATAATATAACAGATGTTTTATTAGCACAGCGTTTCGGTACCTACTTATATCATAAAGGGCTAAGACAAGTGTTGCAGTATCTCCCTATAGTATTCTTTTTCTTTGGTAGCCAAACCCTACCACAAGGAGGACGACTGGGTATGTACCGACCAATGGTGAACTATCTCACCTGCCTGCTTTTTTCAGCTCAGTAATTCATTATTTGATAAAGAAACACGTTGGTTAATTCATAGAGACCAACATGAAGACGACTTCATAAGGTAAAGTAGTGCAAACCGTTCAGTTCTCAAACCTGACCTATGATACATATATAATATATAGAGCAGTCAAAACGGCTTGCAGCTAAGAATACATTAAACAAGGTGTCAGTGATCAGTCGTACAAAGGTCAGAGACACTTATACCCAAATCTTTAGTGCTCAAATTTCAAAGTTTCTCCAATCTTTATATGGATCATGCATTTTATATGGATACCTCTTTCTGTTACCGATTATCATTCTATTTTTAACACATATAGTTTGTGATGAAGCAGTCTTATTTTAGTTAACCGGTCGATAATGCTTTGATTAATTTATTTCAGGGTATTATCAACATATCTGGATGACTCCTGTGTTTGTCGATTCTTAAGTTAAGTGTCGCTCTTAACTTATCTTGTTTGCATTGTTTCAGGATATAATTATAGAAATAGCAATGCCTTGACATTACCATTATGAATTGCAGGTTGTCAACGATATATATGGCGAGTCCTGAAGTGCGGTTTGAAATAATATGTTTCTTCTTGAGGATTTAAAAAATAATCCCAGGTTTTATATAAAGATATTTCATGATTATAATAATACTGACTCTCAATCAACCAATCAATCAGTCAATCAGTCAGTCAGTCAATCAATCAATGTTCTATATGATCAACAGAAATGCTATATATATATTATAGATATTGACTGGAAAAATATTCATTATAAGCGTATATATGAATGTCACATCTGTTGTTCGATGTGTATAGTAAAAGTTGTGAACAAAACACAAGTAGATAGTATTGAAATCAAGTGATTTTATTAATCATATATGAATTAAACACATAATGAACATAATGAAATATGCATATATGTTAATGTTCATATTCACTACGAGTCTTTTCTAAGCACCTGTCAGTATGGCGAGATGCATTCTAAGCACTTCCGTTACTTTTTGCAAAATGTGTTGCCATGCAAACACATATGAATGGAAGTTCAACGTCCGATTAACATATTCAAATTGTTGGTTGTAATTTGTATGACAATCCAAGGCAAACACCTTCGCCTGTTGTGTTGTTTTCAAACGCGACAGCTGTCCATATGATCATGTGACAATGGAGTTAGTCCGTTAACTCTTAACGGTTGTCGGGATGTTTGTGATTATCGGCTCGAGATCAGCATTTTGATAATGTGTCCTTAGCGATTCATGTGAATAAGCACACTCCAATGATCCTCTTCTTTGTCCGGGACGGGGTCAGACAACTCCACGTGTTTCTGGGCTGGTCCAGATATGGCCACGGTTGGCCGCGTCTCACGTGGGGATGACTTTATCTGACCCAAAAATGTCCGAGAAGACGTTGATCAAGCATGGAGTTATCGGGGACCAAACGCTGGGTCGTTGGTCAGACGATACTCGTCTAGTCAAGATGACTTTTGATTTTTGATCTTTCTCAGGATGGGCTTCCTGAGCAGTTGTCAAAGTTACTGACCAGGTACAGGTCAGACTGGAAGCTGGATGATAGGGCGTGGATAGATATCGCTCGCCATCACGTCATTATAGAATTTGTTAATGAGAGAATCGTCTTTTGTAGATGTAACAGGATTCTGGAAAGACAAAATTTAGAAAAAACATAAGAACTTTGTTGCAATGTGTCATCACATAATAGGTTATAAGTACAATTTTCAATTATCTATTTCTTTTTATTGTCTGAATTACATGAAACTATAACTTTAAAGCATTCTTTGTAAACTGCAATAAGATCCGGGTTGTGACTGTGAGAATTGCTCGTTTTGATTACCAGTTAATATCCCGGTAGAATTATTTAGTTTCCCGGAATATGACGTCAGACTGAGGGTTATCTATACATAGCAGACGGAACATGTTATACAGTTTAGTTGAACACCTACACAGTATAAAGTGCTGAGTTACAATAATACAAGTGATGCCTACCTGTACAAGGACACAGCTGGTATCGGACATCTCGGAGGCGTTGTTATTTGCGGCAGTGGACTTCAGGATGGAGCTGAGTTTTTCTCCACTGTCAACACGAAGGACAGGGATGTCATTCTCCCAACAGTAAGCCTCCAACAATTTGTGTTGAATGTTGATGGTGACATCCATTTGTGGTCCAACATCTGGAAGTACGCAGACGGACACGTCTTCAGGCTGGGTGTTCAGAAGTGTCACACAGGAAAACACCCCACTGGTAAGGCGGTTACTGGCCAGAGCCTTGACCAGTACCTCTCTTAGAGCCATTCCAATATCGGTTGGTCTTCTGCAATAACAAAATTAGTGTGACAATTAAAGATACCGCTTGTATATTAAAAAAACAAGATCACATTTGAAGTAAACATGTTATTCAGCAATGATGAAACAGCAAAACAGTGTTTACGTGGCAGTCCTAGCATTACTATTGATTCTGTACTGTAGACCCAACCTATCAAATGTAACAACAGCCACATGGTGTCGTCATAGCTCGTGACCCCGATAGATCGTCTGCAAAGTTATTCGGTACAAACATATGGCAGTCACGAGCCTTGCTTACAGACATAGAAATACAAATTTTAAGTTTAATGATTAAAAACAATAAAGTTAAATTAATTACCCAAGACTTCTTATTCAGATTTACAGTCATTATTTAGTGAAAAGAAGCTGTTCCATTGTTTAAAAGCTGTCATATGGTGTACCAAAGCAGATGGGTGTAACTATGTGCTAGTCTAATAAAGACAAAATAACTGAACAAAACGGTAAAAAGTTCAATGAAACTTACCTTGTGGATTGCTCAGGAGCACATTCGATGTTGTCTGGTAGAGTCATGTTGAGAATTGTGGTATAATAATCCGTTTTGTATTATCCAAGGTTGTATTGTAAGCACAAAGCGAGATACGGTGTGTACCGATCAGTGATCATGAGAGTTATGGTAGTCAGTGGGAGTAACAAAGTATTTATACCCCGGCGGGGCCTTATTCGTAGAAACGACTGATCTGATTGGCTGTCCGGGATACGAAGAAGTCAGCGACACAAACATGTGTTATACCGAGAAAACAATGACCTACAAGTTGTTTTGATTCTATGTGCTATTTACCAAGGACTCTTAAGAAGGATTAAAAATTGTCACGAATCTCAACAACATCCCGATAAATTCTAATAGTGCAAAACAGTCATTAATGTAAAATGGAAGGAAAAGTTGTTCATGTCAGTCGAAATAATACAGAAGGGGATTTCCCTTTTCAAATCAGACATGACTAAACCTGTGTTGTGAGGTATACACATGATCGTTCTCGTAGGTATATGACCTAGTAACAGCCGACCAGTGCAGACACGAGTACTCTAGGCACCTCTTTGTTGTACCAACCGCGTGTTACAACCACGCCAGGAATGTCAGCAATGTTTGATCTCTCGTTAGTAGGAACTAAGGACATTTAATCGAATGGTTAACTGGTGGTAGATTAAGGTGTGAGGGTGTTGAGCAAATTATGTAAGGAATGTAGAACATATAGTATGAGCAATATTAGGATATAACTACTTCACATCAGGCACATCACAGGACACTGACTGGTACGGGGACCAGTTAGGGCGGGTAATTCTCGTGCATTCTCACGGTCATTTATTCCATACTTATCACACTAGATATGACACACATTCGTGATATTTCTTCTGATATTAGTCTGGCATGCATTTTACACATGTAGTCTTTGTTGTTATAGGGATGCAAGCTGATTAATTCTTGTAAAAATAAAAAATTAAAAGGAATAAGATAGTGTATCATGAAGGAAACACTTCAGAAGTATGTCGTGTCTAGCACATGAGTTTATTTGCGTTTTGAATATCGTATATCTTTGAAGATGAGACGACTTGGTCAATAGCAGACACAGACGATGTAACATCTAAGCGATGGCGACTGTAATTGATCCTAAGTTAAAGGTTGTCTCAGTGTGCACATCAGAAATACATCCTAATAACCCTTAGGTTTTAACTCTATCTTTGTTTGACAGCACAAAGACGTATAAACTGTTTAATCTACCAACAAATAAACCCCATCAAACACACTTTGGTCAAGATTACAGATGTTCATGAATTAAAGGTAAATAACCCATCAATGATAGCAATGCCACACCTGTGTTCTCCTGAGGGTCAAGGTAACCGGAACTAGGGTGTTTCGTACTTGTGTCTTATGGCAAATAACGTTACGAAAGAAGGTGTACCAGGTGACATAATCAAACAGTTGACAGTGACAACCATTCAAAGTAGCATATCCGTCATCTGAATTTAGAGCTGTATTTTCTTAACTACTTCTAAAACAATAGTTGTTCATTGTTTTAAAAGCAATCACGTGATTTACGGGTTAAAAACAACTATCCATTAAACATGTTAAAAGTGTCAAAACACGATGTGAACTTTACAAAGCGAACAGCAATTTCATGCTTTATTTGTATTGCACTGTTCCAATCAGTTCACACGGTGTGACAAGGTTGTGATACACATTATAGTATCGTAAACAATGCCCCTGAAAACCTGGCAAACAGCTGGCACTGTTGTGTAATGATACATTTTATAGAGTACAGATACAAACTCACATGTAATGTACTCCATGGCAGTTTGTGCACTTGCCAATGCAAAGTAAACGACATTTCATCACCGCACTGGGTTTCCCAGGCGGAAGTATTTGTTGTCATAAATAAAAAATGCATACTATTTAATAAATAAACAATCAAATGAAAACTTAGAGGAATAAAATGAAACGTCATAATATTTCCTTATAAAACAATACCAAACCAGTTAGTAGAAATAGTATCATACTTAACGAAACTGTAACAAGACATAAAAAATCTCCAAACCATTAAGAGAGAAGCAAGACGGTTAAATATAACACGATTTCCAACTCTTTTTCGATTAAAAATATATTTGCATACATGCCATTGATGAACTTTTTTGTAATGGGGAGATTCTACCAAAGACACACCAGTGAATAGTACGTTTCAATAAAAATGAAATATAATGAGAGTTATAGCAATATATTGAATTAAATTGCATCATAAAACGATTTCGTCCCTCTAAGGAAGAATTTCAATTTGGCAGATGCTCCTTGACATATCGTAAAAGGACATTCCAGGACTACCTTTAACATTTTCATTAACAAGGAGACGGAGACACTCCTCCAAGTTGCAGACATTGAAAATCAATTTTAAAGTTCACCATCCCACGATATCGTAAATGAAGCACTATGGTGCCATTTAGATGTCCACGTACTGTACAGTGATGTCGTTACAGACAATGGTATGCACCACGTAACAACGATTTCATGGATTTTGTTACATATATCTGTAGTGATAACGTGTAGGCTGCATCATGTCATGTTAACAGGTTTGTGGTAATATCAGATGTGATGCTGTAGGTATTGCTCTTTTGTTTTAAACAACCAGTATTTTTTACTTTATGATGTTACGCCTACACAAATTTCTGCAACACGAAGCAGGTGATCCTCAATACTATCACTTGTTGGCTTGGATTTTTTGATGCAGCTATATACGGTATGATCCATATATCACTTTGACATCGATATATAACAGTGGAAAGATTTAAATGATTACATTCCTAAAATAGATACGTAATAGACAATTTTGATAATTTTACTATTTTCCCCATCTTTCACATTTTTAATAATGTTACCAGGTGTTTTCTTTTACTTTAACATCATCATTAAACCTCATGTAACGCAACTTTAAATAAACATTAAATTTATTGCATAAAACAACAGTTCCCATCAATGGATTATAAGGTAATTGCGATCGTTGTTTGATGTAATACGAATTACAACGCACAAATAAGCCAATCATATACAAAATACTTTATTATGTTTTATACATCCGTGTCACATTCACTAGTTTTACGGTACAACGTTAATACAAATCATGGGACACTCTTATTATCATAGTAGTATATGACAGATATCAAGGATGCAGATTAAGCTGCAGTGTTATGTGATAATGACGTGAGGTGGAGTTATTGCACCGGGAACGGCCCTTTTTTCAATGGTACGTATCCATATGCATGCAATTGTTACAGATTAAAGCAAATGGTTCTGTTTAAACTAAGATAAACATATTATCTGTCAGCTGCATCAACATAAAACTGATTGCATGCTTTATCTGTATCCCTTTCTCGTCAATATAAATTGAAAAATAGTAACATATATAGGAACAATAGATTCCGGATGGTTCCTTAGGTAAGCAGTTGGTAACCTGGTGGTGAAGGTCGTTGTCCATGGTGGCACCATGTCAGTGGGTCAGGGATACGGTAGTTGCTCCACTCTATTGACAGTACTAGGGGACTGTGTCAAATTCAGAGAGAAACCATCTACATTGTGCGGAGTCACTGACCTGGAGGTTAACGTCAGGCAATATAGCTCGACTGGCTAGTTGGCCGCGGTCCCGTATAACCTCACAGTATCGAGAGGGTAATGATCTCAAGTCTATTCATTAGCCTCCGGAGGCATAAAACCTTGATTGCTACGTTGTTATTTGCATTCACTTAAACATCAATAGTAATACATGATAGTGTTTTGTATACTTTTATTGTTCTAACACTTTTTCCATGGTCTATAATGTTCTATGGGTGCAAATGATAATTAATTACTTTTTTTATATTTTACCCAATAACGTAGATTTTACCCATGCTTATCCATTAGATAGTTCGAGCGTGAAAATACGGAAATTGATACATTTGTTGAGATGCAATATGATCAGAGTTTTAAGTTTAAAATAAATCAACCAATATAATTTGATCTCAAAATTATTCAACTTACAACCGTGTCAATTAAATAAATAAAATTTCCTAATCACAAAATTACTCCATATAATGGTTAGATCAAGCAAATTATTCGTTTTAGTGTTTTAAACGATGAAATGATTCAGATTAGTGTCGATAAACGCAACAATTTAAAAGCTGGATTAACAAAAAAAAAAAAACTCAATTTATTTACATTATCGGGAGGACGATGAAAATGACTTGTGATAAATAGGTAAAAATGAAACAGTATTTCCACATGCTCATTAAACATATACAGTGGTATGTGTATCAAAATTTAAATAAAAAATAATTAGTATACATTGTGATTTAATATCAAAAGGTTTAATCGAGGAAGCAGCCGTACTTAAGCCACACATGGTTCTTTGCAATTTCCCTCCCTTTTTAAACCTTTGTTGTGTTCTGATGTAACACGACGGTGAAAAGTGATTAAGCTGAGCGATCAATCTATTTTCATATGATCTATTATACTTTGACACATGAATCACGTCAGGTTTACACCTATAGGGCCAGTGTCTTGTCATATCAATGAGCCCACCTGACACTGTCCGCTAGCAGGAAGGAAATACGTTGTTTTACATCGCCGCCCTCTCAAACGGCCAGTCGCACTACTAAGTCCGAAAGATATGTTGTGTGTGTACATCCAAATGCGAAATGTCTCCATTTAGTACACTGGGGTCATTGCTCACTGTAAAGACATCCTGTATAGATTTACTGGGTAGTTAGAGGTGACCAACACTTGTCTTCCACCTACTAAAGTGAAACTTCTTATCTACATTACGTTTACTGATATTAATATAGAAGTAATTTGTATTAAATACCATCCACATTTTATCTAATGAGAAAAGGTTTCAAAACACACAAATATAAGACAGAAAACGTGCTTCACATTTGTAATATAATTCAGTGTAGTAATTGCTTGAAACTGAACATGTTTGTTTCCGAACATAAACTCTGCAATGGATGAAAATGTTATTATTGTTATTGTATACTAAGTACACTAATAGATCTTAAATATAGTAACAATTTTTTTGCACCGAAAATTTTCCTACTCATTCTCACATGTTCAGGAAGTGCAGACCCC